CTCGAGAGCCATAGCGATGGTCGGAGAAGAAGAAGTGAAGAGAAAAAAGTGGTTAGTTACTATCTCATCTCCGATCTCTGAGATGATTTTCCGGGAATGAGAAAATCGGAGAGAGGAAAACAAAGATCAAGGAATTTATCGCATGACACGAATCTGATTATACAGATTACCTTGGATTGTTCAAAATAATGTTAATTAATGAAATTATACAGGCTAGCTAAAAGATATTGTTTTCTTTTAACTGAAAATGTCATTAAATATTAAATATAGTCTTCTTTTTTTTTTCAGTTGTCAACAAAAATTTAAATAGAAAATCTACTAATTCTCTTATAAAAAAACTAAAGATTGTTGATATATAAATAGAAATATATTTTTTAACATCTATCTTTTATTTATATAAAATCCAAGATTACATAATACATACCGAAAATAAGAAAATTACAACCAATTACATAATTAAATTTTTGCGAAACAAAGAAAGTGACTTGTAACGATGTTATTCTCCAAAAAGTCTTATTCGCTAGTAATAGAATATCAACTTCCTTCCACATTATTGTCTTCAATTTGATACGATCTTTATCTTTGGCTATCACTCATTCACTGAAACTACCAAACATCAATTCTCCTTGTTGTATTACATTGGCCAACTTCTGAGTTAGAACTATAAATATTCTTCGATTAAGAACCCAATATATTGATTCTGTCGATAGAAATAACAGTTCAAACTGCCAATTTTCAACGATTATATGAATATCGCCATACAACAAAAAGAGTGTATTCGTCTCCGACTCGCCATTTCTTCCACGATGGCTTCTATGGTGGTTGTTTCCAAAGCAAAGCTGTTAAAGTACAACATCAATCATCGAACAAAAGCAACCTCTTCATTGAATAAGAAAAACGGTTGAAAAAGACGATTTCTTCTGAATCATGTTTGATGTGTTCAGTCTTCTCCTTTCCATCATGATTCAAAAGGACTAAAGGAAGAAAACATGGTTGGATTTGAATTTGGGGTGATTTTTGTCGAGAAAAATTTAGGGTTTCGAAAAGAAATTTGGGAGAAAACGACAATTGGTTGCCAATATCCACCAAATCACTAGACATAGTCACACTATGACATCGGATACGAAATCTCTTTCGCCAAAGAATGAAATCTCTATTTTGAAAGAAGGAACAGTTATAGATTGCTTTAGAGAAAGATGATAGTAATTAGAGAAACCACCATCATTGAATTATAGATTGCTTTAGAACACCATCAAGTTTATTTTTCAATGGCGATAGTTACGCCCAAATCGCCTCTGAGAGAGAGAATATAATTTCTGGTTATTACATAGAGATTTGTTACAGTGTCTTTTAAAAAAAAATGATAAATGGAAATTAATAGAAATAATAAAGTTCCTGATTATATAAACTCTCTTAACATTTCTTTAGTTTTTTAAAGAAAAAAACACATTTATTTAGTTTGACATTTATCTTTGTTTGTTTAAAACTCTCTATCAAACTCATTGAAATAAAAACAATTATTAGATCTTTTAAACGAGATATCAATCAACAAGTTCAAGTAAAAAATGAGGAACGCAGCCATTGTCCAATCCCCAAGGCAGATTTCCAAAAAGTAGAGAGTATGGTACGCGAGATTCTTGTTGGTTGGGTGTGGTGAGTTTTGGAAAAACCACCATGAAGTCGGCAAAAGGACATCAAAATCCAATGCTCGAAGAATCCTAAGCTCCATCTCCATAACATGAGTCCTACAAAAGGGGTTTCGAGTGGAAATAGAAGCCAAACATATCACATCTTCGATCTCCTTCTTTGTGCATCTATCCTCGTGTTTGATAGATAAGAGGAGACACGAGATTCCCACGAGCAACATTTCTGTCCGTGTAACGATTTTGTCCAAGAAAAAGAATCGATCCAAGATGTTCACCGCACAGAAAATACACTTTCTGCTTAGGTTGAGTTTATCATGGGAGAACATCAACCGGTTAACAAGCCAATTTATTCTCTTCGTAGTCACACCATTGTTGCCCAAATAACTTGCCGGAAGAATAAAACTTTTCTGAATAATAGAAACGTGTTAGAAACAGAGAAGCTTAGAAAAGCTTAGAAGGAAGGTGAATTAAGAGAAATACCTTTCTTCTGTAGTAAAAATCTCATATTTCATCAGAGTAGTCTCTGAAATCGTGTTGTTTCTCATAAACCTAATTAAGAAACAAAATCAAATCTTACCAAATTACCTACGTAAATCTCATCAAAAATTGCGTAGAACCCGCAATCGCATCAACCATTAAACCCGAAATTGCATCTAAAAACCGCGTAAATCCCATAATCGCATCAACCATAAAACCCTAAATCGCCTAACCGTAATAAATTCCGTGATTATACAGATTAACTTGGATTGTTCAAAGCTAAAAAATTATTGCTTTCTTTAGCTGAAAATGTCATTAAATATTTAATATAATGCTACAAGATAACAACAGACTATAGTCTTTCTTCTTTTTTTCTTGTCAAAACAAAATTTTAAAAGAAAAATTAGTAATTTTGTAAACAAAAATTAATATATGTATTATGAATTTATGATAAATTAAATACTAATAAACAAAAAAATTGAAATGAGATGTTCAAAGAAATGGTATTTCTTTAACATTTTTTTTTCATAAGAAAAATTGTTTTAGAATAAATTTAAAATAAATATTATATAGAACTTTACTACCACTATCTTTTTATTTTCTTTTAATTGGTAACTGAAAATTAATATATATAGAAATAACAAAGTTCCTGATTGTATAAAGTGATGCAATTGGTGCAGATCAAGTATTGCCACTTATGTTCATGATACATATTGTCTCTTTGTCATCCTCATCTAATAGTTTTAACTTTTCATATAACCATGTAGGAAATAGATGCCTAATCAAAGATGTTGATGCATTAGCTAAGATAGCTAGACATATGCATTTGTCTTATACTATCTCATGGAAAACTTTGTAATATAGTTGTGTGATAATAATATTATGTTTTGCTGGCAAAAAAAATAAATATAAAGTGATGCGAAAAGTAACACACCCGGTGGGACTCGAACCCACAATCGCTTGATTAGAAGTCAAACGCCTTATCCATTAGGCCACGGGTGCTTTTGTTCAGTTATGCACTTACCTATATTAAAACTACTATATACAAGGAGAACACAGCCGGAATCATCTTGCCTCTAAGTAACAAACCTTTACAACATGTGGAGACGGAAAAAAATCTGATTTCATTACGTGATGAGTAACAGTGTAAC